AAGTGGGCTAAATGCAGACGTGTGTGTGTGTGTGTGTGTGTGGGGGGGGGTGGCGGGGTGCCAGAGCCACTGCCCGGTCACCGTCCGTAGGGGAGTCAGAGGCCACCCATCCCTAAGTTGGAAATGGAAACAAACCTGGTCTTTTGAAAACAGCAGGTCTGGGCACCAGCTCACCTATGAGTCAAAGGTGCTGAGGTTTGGGGTCACCAGCCTGTCACCCAGGTGTCCCGCGCTCTCCCCGGGCAGGTGGGGCCTGAGGAAGGCGTTCCCCCGTTGAGGACCCAGCACCTGTCGGCTACTTCACACACAGTCCCTTCTAATACAGTCTCAGAGGGAAGCTTCTTTTTATTAAGATGAAGTAGAGGCTTAGAGCTGTTAGGGAGTGGCTCCAGGCCACATCATGGTAAGAGGAAATGAAGTGCTGGGACGGGGGTTTGACTTCAAAGCCCTTGATCTTCCTCAACATGTGGCAGCTTCCCGGACGGCGGGCGGGGGGTGACTAAGAACCCAGGGAGCGGGTTCGGTGGGAAGAGGCCTGGGGGGACGATGCTCTCTCCAGACCTGGAATCCGCCTCACGCGGCTGCTGCATCAGGGACTGACCAGCTGGAGGGAAGCACCGGTTCTAGACTGTTCTTTGTGGAAATAGATGGAGACCAACCACACGAGAAAGGCAACGGCTGTTTATTCAGTTTAGGGTTTGGCAGGGACCCCAAGGCAGGCAGAGGGTGGGAGAGCTTCCTAGTGGAGAAAGGGGGGCCCGGGGTCCTGATGGGGCTGGGCAGCTACAGAAGGGGGCATCACAGGTGGCAGGTTGGGGAGCAGGGTTGGCTTTCTCAGGTTGGCACTGAGTTGGAAGTGGGGCACAGTTAGGGGCGCTGTCAGGTACTGATCCAGTCCTGGCTGATGGTCACGAGTTATTGCTCAGCCTCCTGGATTGTCACTAGACAGCAGCTGACTTCCTGCAGGTCGGACTCCACAGGCTGGGTCCTGGGCTGGCTGCCGCAGGTTGGGGGCCACGGCTCTGCCTTTACAGGAGGGTTGGGCGTTGTCTGTCCATATAGTCCGTCTGTCGTCTCTCTCCTTGGTAAGCATAGAACTGACAAGTTAGATGTGCTGGGAATTCCTCAGATGCTCTGTGTCCCCTGGAAGAAGCTTTTAGACCGACGTTAATCAGAGTGACTGTGAGCTGTTGGACCATCAGCCTCAAAGACTTAAACCAGGCCGGTTCCCACAGCATTTCTCCGGCGTCGGTACCTTTCAGCCATCGCGAGGAAGATGCTTTGTCCATTGCTGGCTCTCTGTCCTCGGCTGTGGTTGGTCCAAGTCCCTGCACAGCCCGTCTTTTGTGCATTTCGCAGTTTGCTACCTCGCTTGTCCCGCAGGCTGTGAAGTGTATCGTGGCCACCTTGGTGGTACTGCGGTGTCGACTGTGGATTTGCCAGCTGGAAGGCTCTCAGCAGTCTCCTAGGCCAGCCCCTGATCAGATAGACGAACTGAGATGCAAAGCCCAGGTACGATCAGTGCTCCTCCCGCCTCAGGTGATGGGGTGAGGGTGAGGTGTGGTCTGAAAGGAAATCTTGCGGTAACTGGCTTTTATTTTCTCTGCTTCTGCCTCTTGTTATCATAGAAACTTAAACTGGCCTTTGTGTGTTACCATACATGTAGGAAATATTGATTTGTTTACATACAGGGTACCTTTTTTCCCTACTCATTCAGCTGCTGTTTCAGCATGGTTAGAAGGTCATATTTCGGGACAGAATTGTGTCCCCCTCCCGCCAGGGCCAGTTCCCCTGCTCATGTCTGCACAGTTGCATCTTGTCAGTGAATAGCTGCCTCACCCCTTTGCTCCTCTCCGGTCTGTTTAAGCGTCTGGATGAAGTCATGCCTGGCTCCCTGCTTTCACTCCACATCTATACAGGCCCGTGGTTTTCCACTGCGAAGAGGAAGTGCCGGCTCCTGGGCTTGGCGCTTGGGGCCTTCGTGATCGGGGTGCAGCCCACTAGTTGGGGTTTCTTTCTTTCCATTCCTGTTGTCAACTTTACAGGAGACGGGTTCCTTACGCCCTTTCTGGAGCCAGTCGAAGAGCCGGCTTAGAATTTGAACTTTCCCGTGCGCACATGCTCTCTCCACCGCAATGCCATCGCCCCGCTGCCCCTTCAGCTCGGATCCACCCCTCAAGGCTGGGGTGCACCCTCTCAGTGACCCCTCCTGGACACCCCGAGAGTGCTGCGCCTTTATTCTTCGTTTAATGAACACGGTGACCCTGGGAGTCAGGGGTGACTAGTTGCCTATGTCCTTTATCACTGGGTTAGAACATTTAGCCGATGTTTTGAATGTAATATAAGCGATGGAACAACATTGAAAAGGCCCTGGAGAAGGAAGCCCCACTCCCTTCGCTGCTCTCCGTCCTGTGACCACTGTCGCCTGTTTCTTTGGAATCTTTCCACAGCATCCTGTGCAGGCCGGCCCCTGCGGGCAGTGTGCCTTCTTCTTCAACACACTGGCTTCCTGTCAGCGGTCTTAGGTTGTTCCAGTCTTTTGGAGTGAGGAGCAGTGCTGCGTTGTACGTAACGCGTGCAGCTCTACATGAACGTGTCCATGGCGTGGCTCCTGGAGGCGGGCTGTTGGACACAGGCGTGCGCACTTCATGCTTTGTCCGTGCAGCTCTGCATGAACGTGTCCATGGCGTGTCCTTGAGGCGGACTGTTGGACACAGTGTGCACACTTCATGCTTTGTCCGTGCAGCTCTGCATGAACGTGTCCATGGCGTGTCCTCGAGGTGGGCTGTTGGACACAGGCGTGCACACCACGCTTTGTCCATGCAGCTCTGGATGAGTGTGTCCATGGCGTGGCTCCTGGAGGTGGGCTGTTGGACACAGGGTGCACGCTGGGTCACACAGTGTGCTCTGAAATGTTGTTCTGTGCCAATCACACAGACAGGTGAGAATATTGCTCCTGTTGTAAAGAATAGGAACCAAAGCTCAGAGAGATGAGGTGGTCATTTGCCTGGTCTCACAGTAGATGGTTGAGCTACAGCCTGAATTTAGTCTTCTCATTTCCAAGGCTGTTTTCTTTGGAGGCAAGCTGGTATGGAATATACGTTACCTTTGACAAGTTAATAGTGATGTACTACTTCCGTCCTCTCCGGGTCGTAAGCCGTTCTGTGTGTGCAGAGAGGGATTTTGAGATTTAGAGAACGTTTTGCTGCGGGTCTAGGACATTCCTGGAAAGGCAGGGAGGTTTCTCTGCTTTTTAACCCTAAAACCTGACTTTTTAAAACCTTTTGCTACAGTTTCTACGGGGGAAGCCCAGGCCTTTGTCTTTCAAGACTGCAGTTCTCTGAGGAAAGGGGAGGGGGGCGTGTTATGAGGCCCTTTTTAATGTGAGCAAGTCCGCTGAGTTCAGTTTATTGTATCTTCTATGTGAGTTAGGAGATTGAGGAAGCCAGTAGAGAGCCAGGCTGCTTCTTAGCTGATGAAACCGTCTTCCCTGCTTTCCTTCACCCGTCACAGTGACAGCATGGCCTCTGCCTCTGACGCCACTGGGCTCGGCCGCCCTTCAGAGAGGGCGCTCCTGTGGGCGTCCACACCATGTCGTCCAGAAAGGTTGTGCGTGGACGTGCGGGCCTTGTCGGGCCTCCCAGGCAGGAGAATTGGAGAGCACAGTTCCTGTGTGAGCTGTGTGTGTATAGATGTGCATTTACTTCTGACGCAGGAATCAGACACATTCCTCAGAGCCTCGTATTCCAATATAAGGCGTTTCGCCTTCACACCGAGAGCGTGTGTGTGCCCACTCCCCTGACAGCCCTGCCACTGGCTGGGGGCCCGCTTTGAATGTGCAGCCTTCACCTTTCTGTTGGGTGGGTTTCGTTTGGGTCCTGGGGCCAGCGATGAGCTGCGTGACTCCCCGTCCGCTGTCCACAGACTCTTTCTGACGGGCGATCTGATAGCTCGTTGGGCTTTACTGTTTTCCCAGCAGCGTGAGCTCAGGCCCGGGCCGAGCAGCCCCCTGAGAAGTCACTCATCTTCTCGTCGTTCATATGTTCAAGGCCATCAAAGCTCGAGCGGTTTTTATGGGGCTGCATACCAGCGTCCTGCGGGAGCCAGGGCCCTGGCTCTGCCCGCTGCCAGCACGGCTAGTGGAGTCACCAGGCAGGCCAGGCCCGACTGGGCCAAGTGGGACAGCGGCTGGTCTGTTTCCTGAGCGGCCGTCCAGCCGTTATCCACGGACTGCCCTCTGCACCGTGCCCAGCGTGGGGGGAATGCCAAGCTCACCCAGGCACATCCGTAACCACTAGCAGCGGTTCTCAACCTGTGGGTCGCGAACAATGAAAATACATCCTGCAGATCAGATATTTACATTACGATTCATAACAGTAGCAACATGACAGTTATGAAGTAGCAACGAAAATAATTTTATGGTTGGGGGTCACCACAACATGAGGAACTGTATTAAAGGGTTGTAGCATTAGGAAGGTTGAGAACCACTGCCTAGGGCAGTGATGGCGAACCTATGACATGCGTGTCAGAGGTGACACGCGAACTCATTTTTTTGGTTGATTTTTCTTTGTTAAATGGCATTTAAATATATAAAATAAATATCAAAAATATAAGTCTTTGTTTTACTATGGTTGCAAATATCAAAAAATTTCTATATGTGACATGGCACAGAGAGAGTTAAGTTAGGGTTTTTCAAAATGCTGACACACCGAGCTCAAAAGGTTCGCCATCACTGGCCTAGGGCATCGTGTCCAAATGCAGATGCAGGGGGAAGTTGGCGGCACTGGGCCGGTGGACAGACGGGAGGAGCTGTGGTGCTGATCCCGCTGAGTGGGGGTGTGATGTGAGGACGGCACCGGCAGGAAGGCACGAGGGAGCCCAGGAATCAGCCGTGGAGCCTTGGATTCCGACCCGAGAAAAGATGGGGGTGGTGTTCTGTGCGCGCCCAGCCGCACCTGCCACTCAGGTCATTCAGGTTTATCTCCTGTCCGACCCCCCTGACCGCCTGCTCATTTCTACAGAAACGTGGCCGTGGAGTCTTCGCAGCTCTTCACTAGGAGAGTGGATGCTCACTGAGGACCACCTAGGCGCACCGGAGACAAAACGCAGGTGAGTCTCTTTCTCACTGCCTTGGCGTAACCACGACGAGTTTTGGGTGCATTTGCTTCCAGGTCTTTCCAGCGCACTGATAAATACACATGTGCCGTTTGCGGATGTTTTTAAAACAAAATAATGAGTGCTTGTCCGCTGTGCCCGCACTCCCCGCCCCAGCAGCCCGCCCGGCCCGTCTTGCGCTGCAGGAGACCTAGTGGGCGGGCGGCCCGGACGCAGAGTAATGGCAGGAACGCTCGAGCGTGTGCACGGCGCACCCACCAGGGACGGTCCTGCCTGCTGGGCTCCGGACACGAGTGGGTCTTAGAGTTTTCACCCCAGACCTGTGGGTGAACACTGTTACTTTAACAGGTTACAAACGATAAAACTGGTAGAGAGAAGCTAAGCCATTTCCTCAAGCTCATGGCCTTATTTCCAAGACAGAGAACACATTTAAAAAACTCTGGTTCAGTTCAAATTATCCACATCCACTCGTCTCAAGACACATCTCTTTAGCGCGTTCTGTGTCACGCTGTCGCAGGAGCTTTTCCTGGGAGCATGTGTGGGGTGGGGTGAAGGGGGCGGTCTGTAGGCACGGGGGCGGCCACAGAGGGGGTCTCCCCACAGCCCTCGGGACAACCATTTTCTCTGTCGTCTGGCCCAGGTCCCGTTCTTGTACACACACTTTCCAGAGGGACTTGGTTTTGGGTTCCGTGGCGGCTCGCCTGAGACTGAGCGACTGTATTTCACGCTGCTGGGTTTTGGCCTGGCAGGTCAGCAGGGACGCCCCTCGGGTTGGCCTGCGGTCACCCCCAGTCCTGTGGGAGGGTCCTGGAGTGATGGGCCTGCCACAGCAGGGGCGTCTCATAGTAGGTGGATCTGGTGCTGGTTTGGATGGATTTTGGTGGATTTCCTGCTGTTGCCCACGTGGGAGGGAATTTCCACTGGCCTCTGGGTCTGTGGGGGACTCAGGGCTTAGAGCAGGGCCTGGCGTCTGCAGGTCCAGATGCATGTTATGCAAGTGCGGTCATGTGCCGGGGGGAGGGTAGCAGGGGGTGGGCTGCGCCGGAGGGTCCGTCGATGGGCTGTGAGTCTGCAGCCCGGTGTTGGCCGCGCACGCGCTGGGTGCTGCTACGTGCTCTCTTGGCAAGTTTCCGTTGGGTGTCTGTGGGACAGAAAGCATGACATCAGCGTTTGCCACCAAGTATTTATAGCAGCGGCGCCTCCCATGTGGGTCACTGTCTGTGCTGTGGTTCTCGGGAAATTGTAGCTCTCTCCCCGGAGCAGCGCCCATCCCAGGTGCTGTTCATTCCTGCTCACCTTCAGGGCTGGGTGCCAGCCAGAGGGGCGCTGCCAGGGAGCACCTCTGTGTGTGGTGTCTGCTGGCCCCTCCCCCCTCTGCCGCCCTTTCTCCCCCTCCCTTTCCTCCTCCCTCCCCTCCCCCTCCTTTATCCTCCCCTCCTTTCCTCTCCTTTCCCCTCCTTTCCCCTCCTTTCTCCTCCTCCTCCTCCTCCTCCTCCTCCACTCCCCCCGCTCCCCCGTTTTCAAAAACATTTCTTATCAGAAACGAGCAAGTATTTGGTTTTGGTTTCCTTCGTTGGCTGCTCTCTGCTGAGTGTGTCCAGAGGGAGCCTGGGAAAGTGAGGAAGGACGGTTGTCCTCCCCTCAATGCTGCCATGGCCGCTCCTACCTGAGGGGCTGCGGTGCGCAGGCGTGCGGAGCGGCTGTGCGTCCTCTTTCACGCCTCCCAGCGGCCCGCTGAGACGGGTGGTGTTCACCCCCAGTTAGTGACCAGGCCGCTCAGCTCACAGTGGGTGAGGGGCCCTCAGTCTCAGCGAGGCAGTGGCGGAGGAGAAGCCACCACAGAGTGAGTCAGGCCGATGGCTCCTGTCCCTGGAGGTCCAGGAGGCGCCCTGGCGCTGACGGCCCCATGGCCAGCCCTGCACTTCTTCGTTTGTATCACCAGCTTTCGTGTGAGCAGAACCCCCGGCCCTCCTCGTGTGAAGCCTTTGAAAGCTTACGTTTCAGCCGCACGTTTGAGAGCGTGGGGAGTCCCACTTAGGCTTCAGGTACAGACGCTTCCTGTCCCAGGGTCACAGGGATGGCTTCCCCACAGGAAATGGAAAGGACCGTCCCCCTGGGAGATACGCATGCCGCCCTGGCCGGTGCTGCTCGCGGTAGAGCGTCGGCCCGTGCATGCAGGGTCCCGGGTTCGATCCCTGCTCAAGGGCAGGTACCTGGGTTCCATCCCTGGCCCAGTTGGCTCTCTCTCTCCCCCTCCCTCCCTCCCTCCCTCCCTCCCTTCCTCTCCTCC